TCTTGTAATTTACAGATGACAGTTAAAACAGATAAATGAAAAAGACACTGGGGGGGAATTTATTAAAACTGGAGCAAACAGAATCTGGAGCAGTTGCCCATGGCAAATAATCAGCTTCTCTCTTCAGTTTGTTCAGGCAAGGTTTGAAAATGAGAGAGATGCTGATTGCTTGCAGTGCAAATTTGCTTCAGATTTTATCTGCTCCAGATTTGGTAGATCCCCCTCACTGTGCAGGGTCACTGAAGATGTGCGGGGTCATGGCGAATGTGCGGGGTCACTGAGAAAGTGCGGGGTCACCGGAGAAGCGCGGTGTCTCTGGGGATGCGCGGTGCCACCGGGATGCGCTGTGTCACAGAGGATGCGCTGTGTTACCGAAGATGTGTTGGGTCATCGGGGATGTGCACGGAGTGTCACCAGGGCTATGCGCGGTGTATCAGTATATCCCTAATTGAAGATTTTTGTCTGGGGCACTGATGCGGATTGTAGTTTCTATCTTATATTTGGATCGCTTTTGTTTATGTAATATTCACCTGTTTTTGTGGCACATTTGATTGTGTGTAATAAGTACTCTGTGGATTACTTGGAATGAATTAGTTGAACATGGGGGGGGGGATTGTATATCAGTCATGCAGGCATTTTCATGCAGCGGCTGTCACCGGATCATTAGCTTGAATGGGTGACAACTGCCACTTGTAAACACCAGATTAGGAAAACAAGTTCCTGATGCACGAATCCTTAATCTCACCAAGTGTGAACAGGCCCTTATTGTGTCTATATTAGTGTTTGTAATTCTGGTTGTGGGTTTTTTTGCATGTGTGTGTGTGTGTGTGTGTGTGTGTGTGTGTGTGTGTGTGTGTGTGTGTGTGTGTGTGAAGTATGAAATTTGACAAGCGGCCCCCACGGGGGAAAAAAAATTGTCCAGTGAATTGAGTTTGAGACCCCTGCTCTAGGGTTTACAGAGAATGACATTACAAACAAAAACCATGCTGCAAGTAGCAGTTCTGTGGAGAAAAACATAATAGAAAGAGTTAAAGAAGAATTGCCAGACTATTCAAGCTGCCAGGAAAAAATTATGTTACATTAAACATAAACGCACCAGAACTGTGTGACTGAACCCCAGAAATGCCATGTCTGGCCTGATATTTCTTCTGCAACTTGCAGATGATAGGGTCAGACTTTAGTGTACACAGCATTAATTCATCCTGGTTTGTGTTAGCAGTTCAGGCAGATGAAGTGGAATATTTTTATGTTTCTTGACTCTTTCTTCCAATTATTCATCATCTGAATGCCATACCATACCGAAGCATTGTTTCTGAACATTTGCACTCCTATTTGGGCTCTACAATGTTTACCACTGAGTGTATAGAATACTAATACAAAGCTGTTAAATCATATTACACAAAGCTAGAACACAAATGCAGCACCACACTGCAATATACCATAAAAGGAAAAAAAAAGTTTTAAAATCACAGTAAATAAAAACACATGACATAAGAAGATGCAAACTAAACTGTGCTTACAAATACAAGACTCTTAAAATATATATTGCAAAACATACCTTACGAAGAGTAGCTGTAAGATTAGCTATAACAAAATATCTGGTCCGGCACATAACATTTATGTTGTAATCTTGTAAATGTAATGTTGCAAAATGTATGTTGCTTAATGGGGAATGCAAGTCAAAGCCGAAACTATCAATAAAGGTGCCCATACACCTTACGACCATCGCAAGACTTTTGTCTTGCGATGGTCGTAAACTTATTAAAAGCTCGTACAAACTGCCCATCTTGGACAGGCAGCTCGTACTTGCGATTATCGAAAGAGCGCCCCACTTAGGGGCGGGCTTCCGATGACCGCAGTGAGGGGCGGGCTTCCGATCACTGCAAATGGGCAGTGTGCGCGGCGGTTGTCGAACAAGCAGGCCACTAACCCGCTGAGAATCGTACGATTCTCGGCGGGTTTTCAAGCCTGCTTGTTCAACGCAAGACGTGCGACCGTACAGTAGAAACGGTCGCACGCCTTCCATACATTGTAAGATTATCGTGGGATTTCCCGCGATTCTCGTACGAGAATCGTACCGTGTATGGGCACCTTTAGTGTTCTGGTTGCACTCACGATGATTTGTTTCAAATCTAACCACTGCAAACCCATATACTGAACTTTAAAGCCCCAGCATGTCCACTTGCCAGGTGCTATACCAATTACCATCAATTAATAAGCCTGGTCTTATTTTCCACAGTACAAAATTGCTAGTGTTTTTAAGAAAATACATAGTGCTGGAGGAGCTACATTGTTATGCATGCAGGCCTTTGGTGATAATGCGGACTAAAATATTTATGTATAATAGCTAATCTGCCAAAGAGTGCATTCCCATAACAAAATAAAGAAATAGGTTGTTTTAGTAATAAAGTGACATTAAACTCAGGAGTTAAAACTTAGAAATACATTCTAATACCCTAACTATTAACAAAAATGCATCTTATTTGTGTATCATTCTCCATGTTTGCTCCCGTGACAGACTATCATTTCAATACAAATTAGTAAACTAAACTTGAGGCTGAAGTACATCAAGGGAGCAAGCTTGGAGCAGTGGCTACTTTGCAACACACGCAGGGCCCATAGTGAACAAAAGTAGCCGCCCTCCAGGAGGAAGGACAGCGTTCCCACCAATTCGGAGATGATTTGAAGATCTACAGCCGGGTGATACACAAGTAAACTTTATTTTTATAACACTGCATTTGTGTATTTTATTTTAAATTAAGGATGGTATTTGTTTAATTTTTTCTAACTGATTAATCAAAAAAATATTCAGACAACTAAATTATTATGAAACTAATCATTAGTTGTAGCCCTACTAAAATGTAAAGAAAAACATGTGGCCCATCTATACCAGACCATTATCCAAGCTACAGTATTTCAAGATTTTGTACATAAAGGTGTAATTAAATATAAAAATATCCATCACAGTCCTGTCAGGAAAAACACCTTTCAAAAATGATGTTTGAGAAGAATTGCCAGACTTGTTTAACTCAGTATGTGTTCGCTCACCTCCCGATCTACTGAGCCGACATGTGACAGTCTCATTGTCACAGGTCGGCTAGAACTGTGAGGTGAGTGAAAAACACTCACCTCATAGTTCTCCTTTAAATAACTACTTTTCAAAACAATGGTGGCAGAAGAGCATCCTTATAACCTTGAAGTGGGTGGGCTAAAGCAGCAGGCAAGTGCACGGGGTTCAACTACTGTCAGCTGAGAACCGGAAATAAAGATACAGTCAGCATAACATTAAGATAATTGGACTAACAAAGACTTAAAGTGCTTTTCCACCTTTGTAAGTGATTAGCATTTACTGTGGTAATGAAGAGGTGCAGTG